TGCCACAGTTGATATTGCTAATGCGTTTTTCTCAATCCCTTTGGCAGCAGAGTGCAGGCCACAGTTTGCTTTCACTTGGAGGGGCGTCCAATACACCTGGAACCGACTGCCCCAGGGGTGGAAACACAGCCCCACTATTTGCCATGGACTGATCCAGACTGCACTGGAACAGGGTGGAGCTCCAGAACACCTGCAATACATTGATGATATCATCGTGTGGGGCAACACAGCAGGAGAAGTTTTTGAGAAAGGGAAGGAAATAGTCCAAATCCTACTGAAGGCTGGTTTTGCCATAAAACAAAGTAAGGTCAAGGGACCTGCACAAGAGATCCAATTTTTAGGAATAAAATGGCAAGATGGACGTCGTCAGATCCCAATGGATGTGATCAATAAAATAACAGCCATGTCTCCACCAACTAGCAAAAAGGAAACTCAAGTTTTCTTAGGCGTCGTGGGTTTTTGGAGAATGCATATTCCAAATTACAGTTTGATTGTAAATCCCCTCTATCAAGTGACCCGAAAGAAGAACAATTTCAGATGGGGCCCTGAGCAACAACAAGCTTTCAAACAAATTAAAGAAGAGATAGTTCATGCAGTAGCCCTGGGGCCGGTCCAGGCAGGACAAGATGTAAAAAATGTGCTCTACACCGCAGCCGGGGAGAACGGGCCTACCTGGAGCCTCTGGCAGAAAGCACCTGGGGAGACTCGAGGTCGACCCCTAGGGTTTTGGAGTCGGGGGTACAGAGGATCCGAGGCCCGCTATACTCCAACTGAAAAAGAGATATTGGCAGCATATGAAGGGGTTCGAGCTGCTTTGGAAGTGATCGGCGCTGAAGCACAGCTCCTCCTGGCACCCCGACTGCCAGTGCTGGGCTGGATGTTCAGAGGGAGGGTCCCCTCTACACATCATGCAACCGATGCTACATGGAGTAAGTGGGTCGCACTGATCACCCAACGGGCTCGAATAGGAAACCCCAGTCGCCCAGGAATCCTGGAAGTGATCATGGATTGGCCAGAGGGCAAAGATTTTGGAATATCTCCAGAGGAGGAGGTGACGCGTGCTGAGGAGGCCCCGATGTATAATGAACTATCAGAAAATGAGAAACAGTATGCTCTGTTCACTGATGGGTCCTGTCGTCTTGTGGGAAAGCATCGGAGGTGGAAGGCTGCTGTATGGAGTCCTATGCGACAAGTTGTAGAAACTGCTGAAGGAGAAGGTGAATCAAGCCAATTTGCAGAAGTGAAGGCCATCCAGCTGGCTTTAGACATTGCTGACCGAGAAAAGTGGCCAGTGCTCTATCTCTATACTGACTCATGGATGGTGGCAAATGCCCTGTGGGGGTGGTTGCAGCAATGGAAGCAGAGCAATTGGCAGCGCAGAGGCAAACCCATCTGGGCTGCCGCACTGTGGCAAGATATTGCTGCCCGGGTGGAGAACCTGGCTGTAAAAGTCCGTCATGTGGATGCTCACGTACCCAAGAGTCGGGCCACTGAAGAACATCAAAACAACCAGCAGGTGGATCAGGCTGCTAAGATTGAAGTGGCTCAGGTGGATTTGGACTGGCAACATAAGGGTGAACTATTTATAGCTCGGTGGGCCCATGACACCTCAGGTCACCAAGGAAGAGACGCAACATACAGATGGGCTCGTGATCGAGGGGTGGACTTGACCATGGACACTATTGCACAGGTTATCCATGAATGTGAAACATGCGCTGCAATCAAGCAAGCCAAGCGGTTGAAGCCTCTTTGGTATGGAGGGCGATGGTTAAAATACAAATCTGGGGAGGCCTGGCAGATTGATTATATCACACTCCCACAAACCCGCCAAGGCAAGCGCCATGTGCTTACAATGGTGGAGGCAACCACCGGATGGCTGGAAACATATCCCGTGCCCCATGCTACTGCCCGGAACACTATCCTGGGCCTTGAAAAGCAAGTCCTGTGGCGACATGGCACCCCAGAAAGAATTGAGTCAGACAACGGGACTCATTTTCGAAATAACCTCATAGACACCTGGGCCAAAGAGCACGGCATTGAATGGGTGTATCACATCCCCTATCATGCACCAGCCTCCGGGAAAATCGAACGATGCAATGGACTGTTAAAGACTACGCTGAAAGCAATGGGTGGCGGGACATTCAAACACTGGGATACACATTTAGCAAAAGCCACCTGGTTAGTCAACACTCGGGGATCTGCCAATCGAGCTGGCCCTGCCCAGTCAGACCTTGTACATACTGTAGATGGGAATAAAGTCCCTGTAGTGCACATAAAGAATATGTTGGGGAAAACAGTTTGGGTTATTCCTGCCTCAGGCAAAGGCAAACCCATTCGTGGGATTGCTTTTGCTCAAGGACCTGGGTGCACTTGGTGGATAATGCGGAAGGATGGGGAAGTCCGATGTGTACCTCAAGGGGATTTGATTTTGGGTGAAAACAGCCAATGATCTGAATTATGTGATGTTAAGCATTCATTATGGTTATAATAGATATACTAATAATATCATAAGATGCCATACTAATGTTATAGAAATTACTATAGCAGGAACCACCAGAACCAGTGGAGGACAAGCCTTACAAGAAGCAGTGCAAGTCCAGCAGTGACCCGACCTCAGCTGGCTTTGGTGCCCAGTAAGTCCATGCAACACACCACCTCTCCTGGCCTGAGTGACCACCATAACAGATGGAGCCCAAAGTCACGGACTAAATGAACTCAATGGATATGTCATGAACATTTCTGGACATTTTACAGACATTCCACAAGGGTGGTCCATAGACTAAGGGAATGATATCTGTGTGTTATATCAAAGTATGGAAAGCGGGGCGGGTGGTTAATGACGTTGTACTGGAAAATATGGGACTTGAGCATGACGTAGATGGTATGGAATAAGGGGTGGATACTGTCCTGGTTTCAGCAGGGATAGAGTTAATTTCCTTCCTAGTAGCTGGTACAGTGCTGTGCTTTGGATTTAGGGTGAGAACAATGTTGATAACACATTGATGTTTTCAGTTGTTGCTAGGTAGTGTTTATACTAGTCAAGGACTTTCCAACTTCCCATGCTCTACCAACTGAGAAGGCTGGAGGAACACAAGAAGCTGGGAGGGGGCACAGCCAGGACAGCTGACCCAAACTGGCCAATGGGATATCCCATACCATGTGACATTCCATACCATGTGACATCATGCTCAGTATAAAAGCTGGGGGAAGAAGAAGGAAGGGGGGAATGTTTGGAGTGGTGCTGTTTGTCTTCCCAAGTCACCGTTATGCGTGAGGGAGCCCTGCTTTCCTGGAGACAGCTGAACATCTGCCTGCCGATTGGAAGTAGTGAATTAATTCCTTTGTTTTGCTTTGCTTGCGTGCGTGGCTGTTGCTCTACCTATTAAACTGTTTTTATCTCAACCCACAAGTTTTCTCACTTTTAACCTTCCAATTCTCTCCCCCATCCCACTGGTGTGGGGGTGAGCGAGCGGCTGCGTGGTGCTCAGTTGCCAACTGGGGTTAAACCATGACACTACACCACAGATTTTATACATTTGTAACCCAGTAGAAATATGGTGGCTTGTAGCCTAAGCCATTTTCAACACTTTCCAATATGGTATTTCATTTGCACTATTTATAACCAGCTAAAGATCTGCATAACATGATGTCTGTTTTCCTTCTTCCTCAGGAATATAGGAGAGCTGAGATGAAAAGACCATTGACTATAGCACAATGTCCATGATTGGCTAGGAACCATAACTATAAAAGAATGTGCCCTCCTAGTTTGTCACCTTCCTTGAAAATGCTCCTGACGTCAGTAGCTCTCCGCTCAGGCCAGTGGGGAGAAGCATGAGAGGACTGACTGGCATGAGGGCTACAGCATGACGTGTTAGTTTCAGTGTCAGCCCATGCTACATAATGTGGAAAACACACAATGCCACAGTAGTGCTGGCATTCTCGCCAAAGGATGTCACAGATGATACAGTTGTACAGGGGTTCAAGAAGAAGCTGAACAAAGAAATGGATGAAAAGTCCTCTGAGAAATATCAATTATGTATAAAATATATAGAGCTCAGGAGTTTTCTGAGCCCTAAATTAATGCCAGCTTGAAGATTGGTCAAGGGCGTATAATTAAACTGATATAATGTATGCTGGTCCCTTCTTTACAGCTTTTATCTGAACATTAGTTTTTGGTGATCATTTGTATGTCATTAGCAACACTGAACACATGACCAAGTGGTTTAAGCGACAAGTGTAAAAAACGAATAAAGCATCAGCCACAAGGTCACTTTATCATTGTTTCCTGTGGTATGAGTTAGAAAACAAAGTTAAAAGTATTTTTTTTAAGCTTTTTGGAACTTACAGCGTTAATATACTCCCTGAATCAGAATAATGCATTTTTAAACATTCAATAGAATTGGCTTTGGTTTAGAAATACAATTATGTTCTGTATAACTAAAATTTGTCCATATAGCTTTAATTGCTTTCTTTGATCTAAATAAATATTTGTTTAAATCATGTCGAAAGTCCTTTATAAAACTGTTGAAAACTATTAATTTTGTATTTCAGGTAATTAAAACTTGCTTATATAGAACTATGCTGATCTGACCCACATTGGACAAAGGTAAAAGTGTTTTAATATACCAAAACATATGAGATTCTTTTTCTTCTTTGCTTAACCTAGATATTAGTGGGGAGCTTATCACTAACATAAATTAAATAGAAAACTTACCTATTTCCGTAGAGAGGAAAAGGATAAGCCAGTAGACATGGATATATTTTCCATGATAGGAGGCCTTTTCAAGTCTTTTGGTAATACTTTGAGGATGTATTATCTTTTTAGCAAGCAATAATAAAATAATAAAGTATAACAAAATGTATAGTTTAATCTTTAGTTTTCCTGGAAAAGTTTAGTTTTGCTTAATATCTTCATAATTTTTTTAATATAGAAATCGTATGTACATACAGTGACAAACAAACATAAACTATAATTTAGTTTGTCTTGCAGGCAAAGCCTAACAGTTATCCAAGCCATCCAGAACTTAAAAATGTACAAATATTCTCTGCAAATATTTCTGTGGCTGTGTATGGGGTTTATGTGTCGAGGTGTCAGCAGTGGGGGAGCTGCAGGGGTGGCCTCTGTGAGAGGAAAGCAGGGGCTGCCCTGAGCCGGACATGGCCAGTCCCAGCTGGTCTCAGCTGGTTCCAGCTAGTTCCAGCCATTCCAGCCAGGTCCGCAATGACCCCACTGCTGCCACAGCTGAGTCGGTCAGCCACACTGGTGGCACCTCTGGCAAAATATGTTTAAGACAGGGCAAAACACTGCACAGCAGAGTAAGTAGTAAGGAAAAAAGTATGATAAAGAGCCCTGCGACACCCAGATGAAAGAAGAAGGAGGGGAGGGGTGTGTTGCAGGCTCTGGTGCAGAGATTCCCCTGCGGCCCGTGGAGACACCACAGTGGAGCAGGTATTTTCCTGCAGCCCATAGAGAGCCCACGCAGGAGCAGGTTTACCCTGAAGAACTGCAGCCTGTGGAGAGGACCCACGCTGGAGCTTGGGAAAAATTTGAGGAAAAAGCAGTGGCAGAGAGGAGCTGTTACAGACTGACCATAACTCTCCCCACCTGCTGTGCTGCCTGGGGAGAGTTGGTAGAAGAGCTGGGAATGGAGTGAAGTTAAGCCTCGGGGGAAAAAAAAGGGTGGGGTGGGTAGAAGTTGTTTTATTTTTTGTCTTTGTTTTTCGCTATCCAAACCTATTTTAATTGTCAATAAATCAAATCTGTTTTCCCCAATTTAAGTCTGTTTTGCTCATGAAGGTAATTGATAAATGATCTCCCTGTCTTTATCTCAACCTACGAGTTTTTTTAATCTTATTTTCTCCACCTGTCCTGTTGTGGAGAGGAAGTGAGAGAGCAGCTGGGTGGGCATCTGAGAGTCGGTCAAAGTCAACCCACCACCATAGGTACTGCAAGCAAAAATCAATATTCCGGAGTATGGAGACTGATAGTAAGTACTGTTGCTGGTTTGTTGTTTAAAAATAGAGTGTAAAAAATATGTGCAAAAGACCTTTCTCTAACATTGCATCATTTTCATATTTGAATGTATCTGCTTAATTTAACATTTTATTTGAGGATAAAGTGTAGAAGTGGTGAAGGCAATCAAAGTGAAAGAGAACAGAAAGTTGTTACATAAATTTTATTTCTGGAAGCAGAAAGACCCTCAGATTTGTAAATAATTGCAGCTGCTTTGACAGTCTTCGATTACTCCTGAAAAGTTTATAGTGATTAAGAACTAATTCCATTGGTAGTGCTTTGCAGCCATGAATAGGTTATGTACTTTTTGTGATAGGTTTATGCCATAGGCAGTTTCATAAACTTACTCTGTTTCTTTTGCTTTACTTGCTGCTTTTAACTTTACTGAATTGAAAAGAAAAGCAAGTAGAGAAATAAATATTCCTGGTAGATATGTTTGCAGAATTTCAAAATATTATTGTTTAAACGTTATTTACCAAAACCTTCCCAAACCTAACTATCCCTTATCATTATTATTAAAAAACATGCTTGATTTTCTGATCTAAGCCAGGAATTTTACTGTAAATTTTTCCTTCCCTGTAAGATAAGACTGAGAACTTCTCTCTGTGCATGAGGCTATTTTTTAGCAATTTCATATAACCTTTCTCCACCAGGTAGA